CCCCACCTTTTCTTCCTCTGTTTTATCTTTGCCTCTTTCATCATTTTCACCTCAAATTCCTATACTTCAAAGTCTCATCTTTTGTCCCCACTTAATGCCCTTTACCGTGTTACTTCTTTCTATAAAACAAAAAGGAAAGAACGGAAAGGAAAAAAAAATAATAATGGGCGTTTTCACAACATCAGTAAAAACAAATTAAAAAAACCTCCAAGATTGTATATAGCTAACATTTCACAAATTCCAAGTGCCTATCGCCAATTTGTTTTCCAAACAGACAAGCAATCGTAAATCTCTCTCAAGACACATGTCTCCATTATTCTCTACCACAAATTACGTATCCAATCTCTTTCATCCATCTTGAAATCTATTTCTACATTATCAGTTCACATTTCCCTCCTTTCCTTCTTTTTCCCCCCATGTGTTTTACTTTTTTATACTGATAAATTAGACGACACGCGCGCATCTTGTGCTGTGAAATTAACCATTTGTTACCGAATATATTGTGTGTAGTCAGTTTCCTTAAATAAAACGGGTGATATAAGTGGGGGAAAATATACAAGGAATGTCTTTCCAAGGTGTAAGCTAATGAATGATAGGATCGTTGAGAAAATTGTTCACACACGCATCTCATGTAAATCTTAGACGCTTATAATGATCTATGAGCGTTGGGGAGCAAGAATTATCGTTATTACATTTTTCTTTTTAAATATTAAACTAAGATTAAAGCCCCAAAAGGGCCACGCTAAAATACGAGGTAATTGAAGGTTTTCATACTGTAATGCAATTCCACCGCTGCCACCAAATTATCGGTAGGCGTGGCCAGATACAGCGCGTGCACAGCGGACCTGTCATTTGATCTGTGCATATCGATTGGTCCTCTCGCTGCTATCATTTTTGCTGTAATTGCCCAGGGTGTTATTCAATTCGATGCATATATTTTTTATCGCAATATCATACTTAGGTGTATTTGTCGCCAGAAATCGATAATAATTATGTCAAATCCCCGAGGGCACTGCGGTAGAGGGCAGGGTGGCGGCTGAAGACATAGGCTGTTACAAACAGCAAGCGGCGAATTATAGCTGAATGGAATTGCAAAAGCAATAATAATAGCAATCCCGAACAATTTGCAAAAGAAAAGGAACAATCAAGTTTGAAAAGTAGCTGCAAAATAGAAAATGAAGGGCTGTGGATTCAGAAAAAGAAGAAAAATATATTGTCAATGCCGGGGAGTGTATAATCTTTTTCTCTGTTAATTCCAGGGTGGTTACATTGCCACTTCTGGCGCTGCTGAGGGAAAAAACGCAGTTTTGTGTAAATGAAAAAGCTGCGCAGAAAACGACGGAAAGTTGTCAAACGAAAGATGATCCAAGGACTTAAACTCGCTGAAGGTCCTCTGGGTCACAAGACAATTGAAGGAAAGCGGTGGGAGCCTGCGAGGGAACGAGAGTAAGTGCAGTCTCGCAGCTATAACCGTGGCAGTTTAACGAACTGGTAAGTGGAAGACGATGACTAGCGAGAGATGGATTGATATCGATAAGGGTTTCAGAACGTTCGATTGCTAAACACACAGACGAGACGGTCTGTACGGGTGGTTTGTCAACGATGTACTTGGCCGAATGAAGAAGCTACGAGTGGTTTATCGATATCAGCTATCATTATCTTAATGTTGAGAATGACTGTACCCAGCCGTTGGCCGTAATAAAAGGGCTGCCTTAAATTGCCAATCTGCACCTACGTTTGGTTCCCTCCCCCCACCTATCATATATGTCTTTCTTCATATACTGTAACTCTACAGAAATTATACCCGAGCAATTACCATTCTTGTTAATAACGCTAACAATCTTGAGCACAGTAGGCGGGATTCTAAGGCAGTTAATTCTAAATACTGCTTTACGACCCACGATGGTATATCTTTCCCTGCTTGTTACACATTTCCACGAATCAATAAAATGTTGTTTTTTTTTATTATTAAAAAATTAAATAATTATTTATTGCAGCTTATAATTTTCATGCAGATATTTTGAAAATTATTTCTTAAAGAAGGGCAAGGTGTTGTTTTAAATACCAATTGCATATTACCAGTCTAGTTTAGTTGTTACGTGTCTGGCATTTGTCTTGAATACATTTCACTGACACAGTAATAGACACACACACACACACACACACACACACACACACACACACACACACAAAGAGTGCCAGTTTTAAAAAAAAAACATGAGAGTAGAATATTGTAAACAATTATAGTGTGTTATACAAGCTGGATGTTGTGAGGGTCCTTTGGTAGCGAGTAAATAGTTCCGAGGAACCGATAGATCATTGGGATCTAAGGAGAAAGGAACTGCGAAATGTTACAAGGAGATCTGGCCGACGCTCGACCCTCAGGGAAAAGGCGAGACCGATATACACTCAGACAGTTACTGATAACACTAGAATGTCGAATGGTGAGTTTTGAGCAAAGAACTGACGTCACAGAACTCGGGGACATTCCTCAAAGTGCTCCGTCCTCATCTTCGTCTGCCAGCGAAAAGTTTTTTTTTTTTTTTTTTGCCGACCATCCTATTATTGAAATCAACGCAATGGGTCAGCTGCCATATCGTATGCAGCAGAATTGAAACCGAGTATTCCGGAATTACGAACTCGTTCGCAAAACCTAAGCCATATATGCTGACAAGTGTTAAACAGAGGATCGAAAAGACAAGTAGAACCTAATCAATGAAAGAATCAAGACCCGTCAAAGCTCAGAGAAAGGACGTCAACGGTGACAAAGAACACATACGCGATAAACTGCGAAGACAAAGAGCTCATAATCAAATTAAAAATACAGCAGAGTTTTATGTTGGAAGATATGATAACTTCAGAGGTATTGATTCTAAGGCAATGAACGGGGTTCATTTTTGTGGCAGCGACGAGACTGAAGTTCTTATTAAATCTTGCTGTGAAAATCTGTGCAATATATACTTCCCTTAACAAGTACTATTTATAATTAAAAATATGCCTTATTTAAATAAGATGGTTTGCAGTTAAATATACACTGTATTAGAATCATATTATTTGCAGTTAAATATAAACTCATCCCAGAAGATCAGCTACTAGAGCGAGAGGACGACCACACAAAAAAGTGATGGACCCAAGTGAAAGCCAGCGTGCACTGGATCGTAAATTGTTCCTTCCCACGTCGCCTAATGTTGATGCTAATGACAATTTACGATAGAAGATAAACTTTACAATTAAGGATTTACTGTACCGGAAAAGACGATTTACAATAGAATATACACTGAAACGGAAAAATTCGATGACGGTTGAATATAAACTATATATAAACTCTAAGAAGCATATACATTGGAGAAATGTTTAGTAGAATATTACTTTTGTTTTGCTGTGTACATTAGTGAAAACAAGCATAAATGTTAAAGATAAGCATTACAATAACAGTTAGTTAGTTGCGTATCCTTTACATAACGTCGCAGAACCAACACCAGCATTTTTTGGCTGTTGTGGTTTTTCTAGGCAAGTTTACGTCCAGTAGTTTGCCATTGCACTGGACGGTCGGCTTCTTGATACCACTGTCGAAACCAACGCAAGGCGCATGGCCCGCAGCTGGGATCGAACCCGGAACCCCGGCATTACGAAGCGCGTTCGCAACGCCTAAGCCACAGAGCTGACTTACAGTAATAAGACGTCGTTATATTAGAGAGACAGTATTGTAAAAGGGAAACTTAAAATTAGAAAAACAGTACTGTGAAAGATAAACAGTAAAAACTGAAGAAACAGTGCTGTAACAGGAAAACAGCAAAATTGAAGAAACAGTACTGTAAAAGGGAAACAGTAAAAATTGAAGGAACAGTACTGTAAGAGGGAAACAGTATAACTTGAAGAACCAGTACTGTATAAGGGAAACAGGCGTAGTAAAATTAATTAGAG